TGTGGTCTGGTAACCAGGCGTGAGGCGCGGTCATGTAGGCACTTGGCCACGCCCCTCTTGACGGACACTGGGTGGTGTGAGTCAAAGGCCAGGTACTGGTCGGTGTGGGTGGGCTTGCGATACACAGTGCTGGTCAGAAAGGAGGCCGCGTGGGGTTTGGGATGTGGGGTAGGGATAAAAAAATATGCGTATCTGCACCGTTGCGCATGCGTATTTTTCATAGGAAGGTTGGGGCAATTATCATAAAGGGGTGGATGAATTTTCAAGTATAAAATACATCAAATTGCTTTCTCAGCCGAGCTGCAAGGTAAGTCAGAAGAGCGTTAGAAGAGTCTACGTGAATTCAGCTTTGACTATTTTTGGAGAGGAATTAGTTGGTTGGAGGATGTTTTTTATTATAGGAATTTAAAGCCCGACATTTGCCTTCGAGCTTTATTTTTTTTTACTAAATAAATTTACATAATAAATTTCCACGAAATTGATCGAGCTTGTAGTTAACCACGCCCATATATAATAATTGCCCCTAACCCCCCCCCTAGAAACAAATACCCAACAACGGTAAGGTGTTCCTCACGCTGAAATCGATGCGCGAGTACCAGTGGGAAGAGTCCCGTTTTCGGACGTGATCCCATTCGTGATTGGCGGCAGGTATTACATGGCTACAAGTGAAATTGTCAGTCGAGGAGGTCGACGGGTCGTGGGTTGAGGGGGGTTAGAACCGTAATTCTTTCTATACGTGAAACGGATGAACCGAACAATTTTAGGGTTAACATCTACAATAGATGTAAGTCGGCACCTGCAAACAAAATTATAATCTCTAAAATAATCCTTGAAGAATCCTTTCAGAGATAATAATTACGAGTCAGGAAAAGACCTCAGGTAAATATGAATCTCTGAACTGATAAGACATTTTGTTCCCTATTACCGGCTGCTGAGACTTACGTTATCGAAGATTACTTGTATTTCATCAGAACTAAGTAGGTCGTCCAAAACGGTCAATTCTGCTTGAGTGTCAGCTAAGTGAAACCTGCTCCTTGGGGGATTATTCCCCCCTCCCCCCGAAAAAGAGTAAGACAAGAGACAAACCAAATAAATGGACTGCATAGTGAAAACATGACAAGAAGTCATTATTTTTCTGTTTTTCTCTTTTTTATACACAAGCCGACATTATCTTCTACGGGGGTGACATTATCACTATGGAGGAGCCCCATGCCAATTCACTGGGTAGCGCAGCAGATCCTCCACCAAAGGTCGAGGCCGTGGCCATCAGTGGTGACACCTTCCTGGAAGTGGGTACCATCGATAAGGTCTTCAGGCACGCCGGGAAAAAGACCCAGGTGATCTTCCTGAACCAGCAGACCCTCATGCCGGGTTTCATTGAGCCTCACCAGCATGCCATACTGTGCGCCCGCATGCGGAACAGCAAGTTCATCAAAATCAGTGCGATTGATTACAGGTAGAGAAGGGAAAAGGATTTCCTTCTGTGGGAATAGAGGCAATGGCAGGAGAAATGGAGGAGGCATTTTCCCCACTCCCTTTAAAATTTTTTTTTTAGTCTCCGAAAATTAATGTGAAAAGATTTTCATCAAGTCATTACCTTCCAAATCGCGACCCCCCAATTTAGCCTCACCTTTGCTCTCAAAAAACCGTAAAACGGTTCACAAAGATATTCCCACGTTTTTTACCCCTCACCTCAGCCCCTTCTCAAAATGACCTGCTCTTGGTTGGACGGAAATGTGAACAGGGAGACTAAACTTAAACTACCTCGTCATCTCTTTCGTGGCCACTCTTTCGATTACACGTTGACGCACTGCTGTTGTGAGTAAGACACAAGTCAAGGAGTGATGCTGGCAGAATGATATCATCACTATGCCTGCGCAGATCATGGTGTTCAAACGGTTAACGCTGTAACTCCGGAATCTGTTAAGGTCGCGGCAGCAGGTGGATTACTCGACTGACGCTACCAGCGGCCATTTTACCGTGCTGAATACAAAGGCGAAAGTTGCCTCCCTCGCCATTAACGAATTCGGTAAGCATTGGCAAGCAAGCCTTTGTTATTTGGCACGGTAAGATGGCCGCCGGTGGCTTCAATAACCTCTGTGTGGTACATAATTATCATTAAGAGCACTGCGGGTCAGATTTCTTTTAACGAAGACGTGCCGTGCTGGCACCTCTGACGTATATATAAAAATGTCTGGACTCGCAATGCCCTTAATCAGCTTATGGAGATCATCAAATCCCCTAGCAGCCATTTTACCGAGCCAAATACAAAGCTTACCCACCTTTGTTCTCCCTGGCGTCAATAGAAGCGAGCCAACCCGCGCATTTGTATTCTGCTCTTCAAAATGGCCGCTGGTTGGCTTCTTTTTCATACAAAAGCGTTGCAAGTCCAGGTTTTTTTAATATACGTCCGTGGCTGGCACATTACCGCAATTAGGATTTCTGAAGGCGCCTTTCCATATGCGCGTCAACACTTGCGCCACACGCTTTCAGAGACACAAAATACGAAAGCAGATGGTAGCCATTTAAACGTCATATTAAACTTACTAGTTGTGTCGAACAGCCCACGATACGTGCGCCTGCGCAATGGCCGAACAAACTGTAGCTGGAACACCTAGCATTTCGTCCATTATCCCCTCATGCCAAGCCACCTGCTGTGCAAACCTGCTTTCTAATTGACTTTTTGTTTTGACTGAGGACTTTCACCCAAGTTTGAAACTCCCTACCCCTATTCAGACAGAGCCCAAAACATTGTTCAGTGCACCTATAAGTCCCCACCAAAGCTTGACACAGAATTTCAAGAGTAAACCCAGACCGTCTGCAATTGGCCAAGGGTTGGCACAAAAAAAATGTCTCCCAGGGTCCATATGTTATGCCCCATTCCAGGGGCTCTTGGGGAAGATAATCAATCAAGCCACCATTGTGCAACAACACCTCTGGAACAGGTGTTTATATTCTAGAGACCTACAAATGTGGTCTATTCGGGGACTGTTGGCGGGAAGCGGGGTAAGGACCTTTGCTAATATATACACATGAAGTAATTGTGAGAGGAAGTGGGACTTAATTCAAAAAATTATCGGTTTTAGACAGTCTCTATTCTTATTGCCCATTGTTACACGGGGTGACAGAAACGCATATTGTCAAAGTAACTAACCATGAATGAAATACTTCGGTGTGAGGGCGCCCTTTCAGTTTCATTCTTGTGTTTTGTTTTTGGAATTACGTCAGGTACCGTCTCTTCCAGGACTGCCTGCATCTTGAGATCTTCCGCTATCGGCGAATGTTACAACCATATCAAACTTGAATTCAATGTGCACGAACCTGTGGCGTTTTGCCTTAGAATTGACAGAAAGTGTGCAAGGAATCCGTAAATGTAAACCTTTTATAGGGGTGAGAGTAGGGTGTACGCTACTTCGATTACTTGCTTGCTGTGCTTTGTTTGATTTGTCTCCCCCTCTTTTTTCTTGCTTTCTCCCCCTCCTATACCCCCTCTCCTCTCCCCCATCTCTCTCTCTCTCTCTCT